AGGCGGTGATGGCGACGCAGTCGTCCCTTGTTGCCGAATCGTAATACTGGGAGCTGTAGTGCATTCGGGGGAAGGTGCTGCTGGAGATGTGGTCGGACACGGCGACGGGAGGCATCACAACCGGGGACATCATCATACAGTCGGAGTGGATGGAGCTCCGTGGTGAGTAGCGATGTTGGAAGTCCATAGGGCAGCTCTCTGTTGGGCTGAGTAAGTAGGAAGTGTGGCGGGAGTCCGAGCCATGGTGCGGGTGGACGTCATGCACATAGGGATCATAGTCAAGGCCATGGGGTAAAGGGATCTGGTGTTGGGAGCGGCTTCCCGATAAGCCCTTCATGTTCCTGGCCGGAGGGAGGTGTCTGGCTTCATTGAACTTTCGAGACCGGGACCAAGGTGCAAACGTCTGGTCTGCTTCAAAGAGTAAGACAGAAAGAAAAAAAACATGAGGAAGAAAGTTAAAAACAAAAAATTCTCCCAAGAATTCTACTTGTATTCCCTTCATAAATCAATTCTAAAATCATTCGATTGTGACAGCGCTGCACTCTATATACACTCTATTCACTCCTTTGATCCCATAATCTCCGCGAAAGAGGCCGTAGGCACGAATTGCAAAATCAGGTGTGATATTTCTCTGGAAGAAATTGAATTTGAAATGAAATTGCCAGCCATTTAATTGCATAATCGTGCAGGAAGCGACACCACTAATCAGGAGGAGGAAATTCAGATAAAAACATTGTAGAGCGGTTACAATGCGGGTTGGAACAGCAAATGAGCTATTTTCAACTTCCCACCGTTGTACCTGCACCCTGAGCTCATTAATTACTCCTCTCCTCTGCGGCAGGAAACCCCAGCGTAGAGCAGTGCTCTCCGTCTTACATAATGCTTGGGATCTCTGATCTCGCGCACCATTTGAAAGGAGCCAGAAATAAATTGCGCCGTTGTCATGGTAACCGCTGCTGAAAAACCAAGGTTCTCTAACAGGATTTTCAAGGTTGTTTCGGGTGGATCCGAGCCACCGAGAAAAGGCTAAGGGCACATTCTGTGCATAATGTCACAAAGCTATTTGAGCCTAGCATGGTACATTGGTGCGTATTTTTGAGCAATTCAAATGTGAAGACCAGCACTTAAGTCAAATGAATCGCATTCTATGTGTCCGTGAAAGTATCCACAAAGCGATGTTCCAGTGAGACTCCTGTGACTTTGAAACACAGCTGACTTGACACCGCTTCCCGTCCGCAATATTCTGTTTTCGTATTGATCTTTATGTATAATGCATTAAATTTCTTTCTGACGTGATTCAGTGGTTTCATCTTTAGACTACCTTAAATTGTTGCGCTAATCTCTTGCATTTTAGTTGTCCAGTAAAACTCTCAATCGCCATCTGTCTGCAAACCAGCAATACATTTTAAAATGTCTCGTGCCCCTCCCACCTAACCCGTAGGACTCAACCGCCGCATTCATTAGAGAGCGGAACAAGCCCAAAGCGGGTTTCATAGCAGAGCAAGAGGCTGATGACCAAAAAATTGTCGATTTCTGGGGAACTTGTCTCAAATAGGAAAGAAAAAAAAACCTCAAATAACAGCACAAACCAGCCCAAGGTGGCCCAGGTCATCCAGTATTTGCAGCAGTCTGTTTTGCACTATTTGCCAATGCATAGTGGCCAGTGTACCATTTTGTGCATGCGTGGGAGGTGACATCAAGGCAGAGGATGCTGGCAGGCTCAACAAACTGATAGAAAACAAACTTATTGTGTCATAGGGCTGAATTCTCTCCAGGCGGTAGTAGAGGGGAGGATGAGTTTCTGAACTCAGTCTCGGACAATACTGCCCACTCCCTTTGCGATATTTGATGCATGGAGGAGCTTTCACCTCTATAATCCCCCTGGATTGACCTTTGGAAGTTAGGTCAAGTGTCTGACCAAACTTAGACCTGGCTGCCCAATATAAGATTCCAAAGAGTTTTTTAAAGCACTTAAGCAAGGGCACCAACTGCACTTTGACTTAATTATGGTATGAGAAGAGATTTAAAACATCCCAAGGATGAGCTCGGGTGGAAGTGGGTGCATGAAGCAAATGGAGAAAAAAAAACATGATACATTCGTTGAACTTCACCAGGTAAAATGCGTCCCTCCCGATCCGTTGGACCTCACATGTTCTTCTGGATGAATACTCCCAATGACTTTCCATTTCGTAAACCTTTTCCACTATACTGGCAGGTGCAGCAATACCCTATTTTGTTCAATTTTCTGTTACTGCGGCTGTCCCGATGCTTTGACATTTCCACTTACACTGTCATTTCCAGAGCACACATTGAATGCTGCAGACGTGAGCTTTCTTGCCTAGCATCTTGCGCAACTGTTATTGTGGTGTAAGCGCCGCAGGCTATTTCCTCACGACCTTAAATCTGCTTTTGTCAGCACCTGATGCAGCTTGTAACCCACTTTCATCCTGAGAAAGATGTCACACATGGGGAGGGGGCGGGGGGGTATGAGGGCCAGCGTAGCAGAGAAAAAAAGAGAGGGGAAAGCCTCACTGCGTGCTCTACTCTTAGACTGCTGGGAGACTAGTGTGCTGCTGGCTGCTAAGGTATAGCTAAATCTGTGCGCCATTGCTGCAGTCATCTCCTGGCCATGCATTTCCCAAGATGGTTGCATAACTTGGCATAAATGAAGCCTTCCTCCTCCACACCAGTACGCAGCTAGCTAAATGCCACAGGGAGGCACGGAGCAACAGGCAGCCAAACTGTAGCGCATGAATCATTGCGGTGAAAAAATATTTTCCATGTGCTGATTTTTTTTTTTTTTTTTTGGGGATCGCTGGTGACCAAGCATAAGCTCCTGATTGATCTTACTCTTAAAAAGCATTTACTCACACAGATACTCGCCCTGACCAATGAATATCACCCAAGGACTGCAAGGTAGTGACGACTCGCTCTTGCCATCGAGTATCTAGTGTATGACTGCGAAACTGTGATTGCGATCTTCCCTTGGAACTGAATCATTAAATGCTTGCCTGGCCTATATGTGACAGTTACAACATTACAACACAATTGAATCAGCCACTATAATCATAAACCGAAACACAATCTGAGCAGGTGGGAAGAGTCCGTTACGACAATGCTGACGGGCAAAACATTATCTCAATTAGATTTCATAGAAGCCAATTGAAGACTTTAATTTGCTCTGTCGGCGTGATGTATTTTGTGACCGGTTTGCTTTCTACTTCAGCTGTTCTTATAGGAGACAGACACTGACTGATGCTACTGTGACGCCTCACACTTTGGACCACAGCCTCTGTCCCTTCTCTACACACTTACACAGAAGAAACGGCCAAATAAGGATCTCATAATTCCTCACCACTCACTGCGCAGTAGCCCGTAGAGCCTCCTACGCTAACACCACTACACACACAAACCCTTCAAAGGAAGCTTGGCCTGAAACAATCCCTTCCAAAATCACCAGAAATGGTCATAACACATTATTGTAATCCAGTACACGATACTAAAGTCGACTTTTGCTTCTTTGACTTTCATTTCACAGCCGCGGCGGAAAATGACTGACATGCATAAATTTGCTTTCGCTCGCATTATTTCATTGAGAGTAAGAGTAAATGTGTAAAGGGCATGTTTGCTTCGTTCAGATAAAGTCGGAAAAGCTGACACATGAAAGCCGCTAATACAAAATGTTGCCATTCGTTACACAATCTGTGTAATGAGTCATCGGGTGCACTTAACCTGCTTTTGTGCTCGTTGCTTGCCTCTGCCTTTAACATGCCATTTATTTATTTTTTTAATGAGAAAATAAATTTTATCTGCATGCCATACGCTACTCACAAAACGTTTGGGATATTTGGCTTTCGGGTGAAATTTACGGGCGAACCTAAAATGCACCATAACCTTTAATTTGCCCTTCTCTAAAGGCATGGAGACACCAAGCCAACGTCAGCCATCAATGACAACTGACAAGGGACACTCCACAATGACGGCCACTCGCACATCCTGTGAGAGGTAACATGCTATACCATCATGCGGCGGTAGCCAGTGTTCCTCATTCAAAAAAACAAAACCTAACTAAAAAACAAAACTATGCAGTGCGCGCACACACACACACACACACACACACACACACACACACACACACACACACACACACACACACACACACACACACACACAAAATCCCACTTCAGCCTGTCACTCTGGTAGCATTACTCATATTGACATCAATCACAGCCAGTGGGTAATAATATTTGAATCAGATGGCTGATTTGAAATTCAGACCTTTTCTAATCATCATTAGCGAAGTTGAACTTATTATGAGCCGGTCGCTCTGATCATATTTTAAGTCGATAACCTAAACGTTTCAGATGTATTTTAATTTGACAAAGCTTTATTCATCGCGATTGATTGCTTACTACAGCCAGTAGTTTTTCCCACCAGCATCAAATGGATTAATTCCCATCAATCAATGCTCATAATAAGAAAGTCCAAGAAACTTTGTGAGGACCTCAAAAGGGCACTTTATCGATCCACTCAAGTTGGAAAAAGCGTTGTGTAGCCATTTCTAGTATATTCCAAGGTCATCAGTTAAGACCATTGTGCTGAAGTGTAGGGTACAGTAAAACCAAAACAAATTCAAGTGTTTTAAAAAATGTCATACGATCATCACACACAGTTCAAATAAATCACTAAAAGTTATCTCCTATTTGCCATTATTTTATATTTTACATTCAGCCTGTGATGGTTGTTTGCTAACTGTTGATCACAGCTCTTTATGTTAACTTTACACTACTCGAGTATCCTTTGCCAACCCTTACATCTGTTCCATTTAGAGAAAATAAATTACAGAAGTAAACAAGACTGCGCCCTAATGCATCATTCATAAAGTTCATAAACACATTACGCATTAAGTGGGGAAAACCTCGTTTTCATAGATAGGGCAAGAGCTGCGTTTGCTTTATGCCTGAGTGTGCCACTCATTGATTTTACCGCAGGGAAAGTGATTTATCTGAATAATTTGAGGGAGCTGGGCAACTATGTGCATAAATTATTAGGCAACACTGCTTTGATTTATTTAGGTAGCTCAACCAATACACACTGACTTGAAGGTGCATGTGCAGAATACCCAGCCATAGGGTGTTTGGGAACCAAGTTGGCTGATCGGCGATGTATAATATGCTCTCACGGGCTCGACAGGGGTAGCAATTCATTGAGTTCTGTTTTTATTTGCTGTATATAACAAAAAAAAAAAGCTTTCTTACCCCGTGAAGAAAAATGAGTTCTCAAAATCTCAGCCTTTCATTCCAGGTCGACCACTGCTCCTTAATTACAGCATTACATAAGTAATGTTTGTGCAACAAGTCATTAGTTGTTTATGCCATATTAACCACGAGTGGGATGTTGCGCACGT